AAACATAAAAATAAAATTTCTTCCCTTAAAAAGAAAGTTGTTAAGTAATAGCTCTGCTCCCGGCTTCACCCATTTTCACTCACCGATCGCCCAGGACAGCACATTAGACCCTCGATCGGAACAAAAGTAACATCTCAGGCAGGAGGCGGCTGGAGGGACAGTGGAAATCCGCAGCCATCCATCGGCCGCAGAAAAGAAGTCCTGTCTGGCTTCCTGCCTTGTTTCCCAGGGATTCGTCCGCCCTCCTGCTGTGCTGCAGAAACACACAGAACAGCTCTGGAGCAGCTCCCCCTGTGGTCACCAGTCGCGGCACCACCGCGGGCAAAGGCCACTGGTGGTGTGGGGTGCAGGGCCACCTCCGGTGACAGTGGCAGCATGAAGGACGGGTGCTCGGAGTCCTCAGAAGATACACAAACCAAAGTCACACTCACCCTCACACACACACACGTCTTCATGGATGCACAGAAATGACTTCTCCCATCTTTGACTCTTCATGTCGTCATGTCTTTATTTTAGTCACATCAGTGAGATTCCACCACAGAAGATCGCCAGAGCTCAGACTTCCCATCAGGATGGAGGCGTAAGTAAACACGCTGCATCTCCTCACACGACTACAGAGCAAAATTACAACCAGACCTCAAAAGGAGCAACACACAGAGCCGTCAGAACATCGAGATGTATGGAAATCCAACAACCAAGGATCTGAAGAAGCTACATCCATCCAGATCAGTCCGCGGGGTGGAGACACGGTGAGGTGGGGCAGAGGGGTGGTGGAATGGGAGGTCCCACATTCAGGTGTGGTGGATAAAAATTGGGGGGGGGCACAGCAGGATCGAAGGATCCTAGCCCCGGGCCAGACCACATAGACCGGGGTTCCAGCACCAGAAAGATAAACCCCTGTAACTTCTGGCTGTAAAAACCAGTGGGCATTGGGGCAGCAGAAGAAACTGCCTATTTTTTGGAAGACTCAACTTAAGGGACCTCACCAGCTTAGGAATTACACACACTCACCCACTCTGGCATTCAGCATCAGGGCTGGAAGACCACAAGTCACATACGGGAAGTGGGTGATATGTGACTGCAAACAGCGCCAGTGCCGGGCACACCCCTGGAAGCCAGACAGCGGCACTGTCCCCTCTCCAAACCCTCCCCTCACAGAAGCCAGGAAGCAGTGAAGTGGGTTGCCCCGCCCTGGCGATAACCCAAGGCTCTGACCCACACAATTCACAGGTGCCTTTTCTACCACAGACCACGCTACTAAGGGAGTCGAAGCAGCTCCACCTAGTTCACAGAAATACACAGGGAAGCTCCAGATTGAGGAGTCAAACACAGCCTAAATGAAAGAACAGAGCAAAACTCTAGAAAAAGAACTAAATGAAATGGAGACAGAAAAGCTATCAGATGCAGAGTTCAAAACACTGGTGATCAGGATGCTCAAGGAACTCACTGAGTGTGGAACTGGGGCAGGCAGCCGGGCCCCACGAGGGAGCCGCAGACAGCGGGAGGGGTGATCTTCACGAGAGCAATGTCGTTGGCCTCCAGGATGGGCAAGTAGCTCTCGTGAAGGATGATTTTTTCAACAAATCTCTACTGGAGAGGCGGCTTCACTGGCTGGTTGCTGCCACACTTGATTTCCCTTGCTCCGAAAACCGGTCTCTGGGCACAGGCTTTTCTGTGGGCACAAGGGGCGCCAGGCCGTCCTCCCTGTGCACCCGCTGTGGACGGGACCCTCAGAGCCTCCCCCGGGCAGGGTCTGCACACTCAGTGTCACCACCGCCAGGCCCAGAGCCCCAGGGACACTCGGCAGAGACCCCAGGGGAATGGCCCTGCCCGGAGGCCTTCGGAAGACCCCCCTCCACACACTCCCACATGTACTTTTGAGCCTGATGCAGGGAGCAGCGTGAGCACCTACTAGACATTCAGCAAGGAGCCCCCACCGGCGGGGCACCACTGGCTGTCATGGTAGGTGAAGACCTGCAGGACGACCGTCCAGGGCCAGGCCCTGGTGCGCGGCAGCCTGGCCTCTGCTGACACGCCGGCTCCCTGCACGGCAGCCTCCAGGGGCCACAGAGGAGAGACCGAGGGCATGGACCAGACCGAGAGCAGGCACAGCCTGTCCTCACGCCTCTGCTGCCGGCAGGGATGTGGGGTTGGTGACGTGGGGGACACCTGGGAATGTGAGCTGTGCTGTGACAAAGCCACACCTCCCAGACGTGGGAAGGGTGTGACGTCACAGTCCTGTGGGTATCATTACAGGTGGGGAAAGAGGGGCCATGGGCAGCTGGGGAGATGGTGTGGAGACCCCTGGGCTGCGTGAGGCTAATGTGGGTACAGGGTGTCCTGGTCTGAGGTCTTCAGAACCAGGCTTGGAACACAGGGTTGGCCCACACAGTGACAGAGAGAGAAGGACCACAGGCAGGTTCAGGAGCCCTAGGTATAGGAAGGCAGTAGGGACGCAAAGGGAAGTTCTAGGAAGAGGGGATGGGGACCCCTGTGGGTTGGCCCCAGAAAGCCTCAGGGGGGACCGAAGCCCTGTAACTTTCTAGCAGACGGGAGTAGAATCCGGTGCTATTTCCTGGTGGCAGCTGAGAAACTTTCTGTTGTGAGCTACACTCATGTTATTCCAAAGGTGAGCACTAGATGGCAGCAGTGACTTTCCATGATGCCGTCCTCACACCCTTGGGCATATTCGCCGGCTGCACACCATGCATCGGAGAACTTCTACCAGTGGTGCAGCTTAGATGGCAGCAGGAGTGTATCTCCTGATAAACTTCACTGTGGTGTTACTTATAATATGAACTCTAGATAGGAACAAAAAAGGGCTTTTCTCCGTGACCTGCACTGGAGTGTTATTCCCACGGTGGACACGAGATGGCAGCAGAGAAGCATTTTGGTGACAGCCAGGTGTTCCTTGCAGGGTGCACACTAGGTAAGAATCGTTTTTCATGACTGGCACTCAGGTGTTATTCCCTTGCTGCACACTAGATGGCAGAAGACAGGGCTGACTCCTGGCTCCAGTGCCCACCAGCGGTGTGGTTTCAGGCAAATCCATGGAAACTGAGTCTCCTCCTCAGCCGGAGGAGTAACTGCCTCCCTCAGGGCAGCTGGGAGGATTCAGTGAGGTGGGGCATTCAGCTCCTGCCCAATGTGTGGTCAGCCTCACTCTCCCTCCCTCTTCCCTTCTGTGTCCTTTCTTACCTTCTATGGGCCAAATAAATCAAGTTTAGCAAATAGTGTTGTTTCAGCAGAGTGCACTCTCCTCCTGGTGTCCACACAGCCCAGCTCCCCGTGGGCACTCACTCCTGCACCGGCCTGGCTTCCTGCTCAGGGCAGCACTGACCACAGCCTCTCTCCAGTCCTCACACCCCTGCTCCTCCACAAACTCAGGGTCCTGCCTCCGCTCAGGCCAGCACCACCCGAACCAGTCCTCTCCCGGCTCCCTCTGCTTCCTGTCCCCGGCTCGTCCCATCCAACCTCCACACAGTGACCAGCTGATCTTTCAAAATTAGGGATCTGATCCCACCCCCTCCCACGCATGAGAACTGCCAACAGCCTCCCCCACCCCAGCCTAGAGAGCGGTCCCCCTATCAGCACAGTGCCGAGACCCTCTCAGGCCCCACTTCCTTCTCCTGGTTTCGTTCCAGACCATCCCCCCCCCCACTCCGTCCCCAGAGGTCACATTGGCCTCCTCAGGGCTCGTACACACAGAGGCACCGGCACTGGGACTGAGCCTCCGATGTGGGAAACTGAGTAAAATAAAGATTCTAGTTAATAATGATGCACCAATATTTTTATTGATTACAATTCTTTCCCAAAAATAGAGAATAGTCTAATAAGAAAAACCTATTGCCTCAAGCTGAAAAACTAGAGAAAATGGGTGATGCCCTATTAAAAATGCACATTAATATGGTGCTCGTTCCCTCCATTTTCTGTGTTTTCTCCACTCTATTTGCATTGTTTCTGCTTGTGTCCTCTGTCCTCTCCTTGTTTATCCTTTCTCTCCGTCTCCTCCAACTACCTGAGTACTGGGACCTTGCCACACCACTTACCAGGACGGGACTACGCTTTTGTAGTAGCGTATAATAAGAAGAATGCAGAAACTGCAGAATAGATATGACCTGGTATGATTACGACATGCAGAACAAGTGAGCTGACAGTCGTGGGACGAGTCAGGACTGGCCCATGACGTCGCTCAGGGGCGGGTCTCTGTGACAACTGCCATCGCCCATAATCCTGGGTGTGCTTCCTTCAGAGAAAAGGGAGCCTCTCACACGCTGTTGGCAGGACTGTGACTTAGAGCGGCCTGTGGCAAACGGGCTGGAGGGTCCTCAGAAACCACAACTAGGTCCACGCGTGACCCAGCACGTCCTCCTCTGGGGGTTTCCCAGAAGAAGTGGAACCAGCACCGCAGACACGTGTGCACACCCACAAGTTCGTGTCGGCATCACTCACAGTGGCCAGGACACGGGAGCGGCCCACCTGCCCGTCAGAGGGTGGACTCACACGTGGCACACGCACACAACAGAATGTCACTCAGCCACGATTAGGACGTCCCTCCACTTGGGGTGTGGATAAACCGGAGGACATCACAGTAAAGGAAATAAGCCCAACCCAGAATGACAGACGCTGCACCATCCCACTTTCACGGGGCACCAACAGCAGCTGACAAAGAAGCAGAGCAGAGTGCTGGTCACCAGGGGCAGAAGGAGGGGGAATGGGAGATGCTGGTCCAGGGTTCGAGTCTCAGTTATGCAAGACGAATGAGTAGTACCTGAGACCCGGGTGAAAACCGTGTGACTGTAGTTAACAACACTTTCCACAGCCTGAAAGCTGCTACCACAGCGCATCGTACGCAGCCCCTTCCTGGGACCCTGAGCACCCTCAGGGGAACCCTGTCTGAGTTCTTCTTCCTCAAGGGTAAAGGCAGACGAGGGGCCAGGCCCCAGGGGCAGTCCACGACTCAACAGCAGCTCTGAAAGTGAAATCTGTGGACTCAGGGCCGTGCTTCCCCATTCCCACTCCACCCCTCCCCCACACGCTTCTGTGCTGCCGGAGGCTGATGCAGAAAAGACGAGTGTCCTAGATGTGCTTATACACAACCTTTGAGGGCACCGTCTGGAGGTGCACACGCATGGGACACTTGCAGAAGTGGGACAGCAGGGTCTCGCTGTAGCCCACGAGGAAGTAGAACTTGTGCGCAGGCAGCTGCCTCAGGACCAGAGCGCAGATCTCCACCTGGTTAGCCCGGCGCTTCAGGACGAGATGGTCAGCCAGGCAGCCGGGGAAGGTGCCCAGCATAAACTTGCGAAGAAAAACATCCTCCACCATGCGCTCTGCAGCGTGGTCCTGCCCGTCCAGGTTACCTGAACACAGAAGGGCACCACAGAATCGGCCAAAGCTGCAGAGGCAGCACCCGACAACAGCACAGGGCACCCAATTCCACCCGACCCTGCCTCTTCTCTTCTGTAAGTGGAATAAGAACAACGCTTTAAAGTTCAAAGTATGTCATTTCATACGACTCCCAAACTAGGTGCCGTTGCTTTCGCCTTGCTTTACAGAGGGAAAGCACGAGGCCTTGGCCAGGGCACAGAACTCAGATGAAAGGCCACGGGCTCCTCTGAGGTTTGGAACGTGAGCTCTCTCACCAGCCAGGGCCGTGGCCTCACCCAGTGAATTCCCAGTGGGGACCCTGCACCCGCTGCACCTCTCAGAGTTTCCGCTGGGCCTCCACACCCACCTCCAACCTCAGAACCAGACCCAGGGAAAGGTGAAGGGACAAGAGCCTTTAAATACTTTCTCTACATAGGGGTGCAGCAAACATCCAAGCTGCAAACTCTCCTACTGAATCAAACACCATTCACGGTTGTTAATTTACAGAAGTTCTGTTCCATAAATTCACTGTGAACAATGAGTGCGCAAACACTCAGCCACAGCGCCTGGGGGAACACGGGGTTGCAAGCCTTTGGTCGAGTTATTTTTGTCAACAGATCGATATGTAACCTCACCATATGTGTTTCCACTTAAAGACACCTTGCTGGCCTGTTACCACTGAAGCCTCCCAGCCGCACCAGAACTCCCGCCTGGGGGCGGCCAACCCAACCTGGGCATTTTCTCTGTAAAGCACGTCACAGCCTCCTCTAGCTCAGGACCCTAGCCGAGCAGGTCAGCATCCCCGGCCATTTTAAGGTAGTGGAGTCAACAACCAAACTGCAAAAACAAGGCACTAAGAAACCTCGAGAAGGACACACATTTATCATGAAAGAGCAGAAACAAGAGAGCAGAGCCCAGAAAGAGGCCTGACTCAGGGTGGTGAGCAGACAGTACAATAAACAGATGACGTTTTACAGAACTGTGCACCAAGACCTATGTAATTTTGTTAGCCATCGTCACCCCAGTAAACTAAAAAAGTTTTTTAAAGAATAAATATTTTTTAAATAAGAGCACAGAGCCCTATTCAACCTCAGCTGGGAAGGTGCCTGTGTCTGAGAATGACCAAGAAAATGTCAAGAGTAGGCTCATTCACAAACACAGATACAGAAAATCCTCTGCTTCCGTGGGAATTCCAGTGTTCACAGTGCACTGTTGCGTGTTTCCAAGCCATTTCTGTGGGCTCTGGGCAACTTGGCCTCTCTGTCAATCAGAGGGGACGACAGCAAAGCAAAAGCGACTTCTGTCTCGAGTCACGCACATAACTTCCAAGGAGGCTGAAGAGGGTCCTCGCTTCCCGTGGAAAGAGCCAGCTCTGGATCCTCCAAACCCAGGTCAACACTCCTGACCTGTCTGCCCGGTCACTTCTCTGCACCTGTGGAACTGAATTCGGACTCGGGCACTGACTACTGATGGGAATGAACCTTGGACACCTGCTCGTGTCGTGTTTGGGTTGAACAGTCACAGCGGAAAACCTCTGGTGCAGCCTGACGTCCCCGCACCTGTGCGCAGCGACAGACAGCTCTTGCGGTGGGCAATGTGGTGAGGCTCGTCGTAGGTCACCGGCTTTTCCCCTTTTCCCACTCGGACCCGGGCTGCCCCGATTCTAGGAACAAAGAGCGGCCATAAGTACCCGCGGTCCAACCTAGGCAGCAAGATGTGCTCTCATCCACATCCCCGGCCCCTCATCCTTCGCCCTGGAGGCCCAGACAGCTCACCTTGGCGCACACAGTGGAGATGTGCAGGGCGCGCCAGGCACAGGGCAGCCAGTGGCTCCAGGAAAGCACATGTGTGCGGACGGGAGAGCGTGACACAGAAACTGGGACACCCACCCCCAACCCACTGTGCCCGCACTCGCCACCCATTCACTCGCGGACAGAGCCCCGGGCTGCACCGGGGGCTGCCATCTTGGGCTGGGCTGCAGGGCAAAGGTCAGTGACAGGAAGCAGCGTCTGAAGAGCCCAAATCGAAGCCGGATTGGGGAAGGGCCTCTGGGCGGAGCCTCACGCCTGGGATTGGAGCCTGTGTAGCCCGAGGAGCATCTGGGACCCTTTTGTTTCTGCACCTCTCCCTCCCTGTACTGTCATTGTTGGCTTCGTAGTCCGGACCTGGAGGTTGGAGGATGCAGGGCATCCGTGGGGTGAAGTGTCGCCCTAAGACTCACACCGGTGTCCTGAGGACAACCTCAGCATCCCCTTAGAGCGTTTTCTCAGGTTCCACGAATTAGGGTGCTTGAGTTGTCTTCAAGTTATTATTATTATTATTATTACAATGTGGATTATATTTATTAAAGCCCTCACAACACACGAACAAGGCCACACAAACTCAACCAGATGCCATTTTTGTAAAAGGAAAAAAACGTAAAAAAAAAACATGTTTATGTACACACAATACAAAATATTGTATTTCAAAAATTAGTGGTTTATCTTTGGAAAGTACGATCATGTGTAATTTCTTTTGGTTTACCTGTATTTTCTATAATAAACGTGTATCTCTGAAAACTCATTTGGCTTTTTAAACAATTTTTAATTTTTCAATTAGTTTACTTTCAGTAGTATTTTCAAATAATATTATTTATTTAATTTTTAAAGATTTTCTTTATTTCTAGAGACCGGGAAGGGAGAAAGAGGAAACATCAATGTGTAGCTGTCTCTGGAGCACCCCCAAATTGGGGACTTGGCCCTCAACCTTGGCATGTGCCCTGACAGAATCACACTGGTGACCTTTTGGTTTGCAGGCAGGTACTCAGTCCACTGCTCAGTCCACTGACCCACACCAGCCACAGATCCCTTTGCTTTTCTACCTTGGCCTTGTATTCACAGGCTTCTTAAAAAGAAAAAAAAATCCTTGGGACATGTTCTCCCTGAGTCGTTGCATAATGGCAGTGATGAAGCTGCTCACTCAAAAGTATACTTTAATGGTGTTCTCTTTGGTATATGCTCTGGTTTTCAAATCTGGAAAGAATAGAAAATACAGAAATACCTTTTTTGTGTAGGGATAAGGAAACTGCACTGAGGAAAAATAAACTTAACAAAATTAATGTGTATCAGAATAAACAGTCTTGTAATATGGGAGTCAGTGGGCTATAGATAAGCAGAAGCCAAAGAGGTAGGACAGAGGATGGTCCAACAGGCAATGTCACAAAGACACTTAGAGCTGGAAAAAAAATGCTTTAACAATGTAAAAGTGAGCCCTGGTTGCTGTGGCTCAGTGGATTGAGCACCAGCCCCTGAACTGAAAGATCGTGGGTTGCGGGCCAGGTCCCCCAGTAGGGGGCGTGTGGGAGGCAGCTGATCGATGTTTCACACATTGATGGTTCTCTCCCTCTTTCTCCCTCCCTTCCTCTCTTTCTAAAAATTAAATAGATAAAATCTTTTAAAAAATGATGTAAAAATGTGACATTAGAAGAAGTTATGTGATTAACCAACCTAAAGATTCAAAAGTTATTAATGGGAGAGAATGGAGAGGTAACTAGTCAAAATACAAATAATGAAGGGGATGCACATCGATACCAGAAAATGTGCAACCAGAAGAAATGGCAGTGATATCACATGGAGAGAAGCTACTAAGGAAAGTAAAACCAGCGCCTGGAAAAGCAGTGTAGAAAGGAGTAGTATTTGAATAGGTCCCATTCTGAATGCAGAATAGAACTTAAGGCGTTAAGGAGAGCTCCCTGGACATTTTAGAGGTTCCACCTCTACTAAACATTTACCCCTAAATCGCACGTACAGACTTATCCTTAATCTGGATGAGGCCTCTTTCCTGGACTGACAGTAATTTCAGAAACTTGGAATCTTGCTCACGACAAAAGAAAGTACACAACAAAGTCAATACTCTCATCACTTAAATTTAGTACTGTGAAAATCTTAAAGCACTAGCACTAACTATCAGTTTATGAGGCATATAACAGGAGTCTCCCAACTCCGAGACTGGGTCCTCAAACAACAGAAAAGATAAGATACAACACCGGGGAACCGGGTCGCGGGCTGCAAGCACAGCACGCAACCTCGGTTCAGCTCGGACTCCCCTGAAACAGGGCCCCTCCACCTCTGCCCGTTCCCTCCCTGCGCCGGGGCCCGCTCCCCTCCAGGCTGCAGCTCGCGCCGCCTTTCCGGCCCGCACTGGTCTCACGCGACCCGGGGTTACAGCCAGATCCTCCCCGCACAGCGGCAAACCGCCGCGGATCCCTAGCGGTGAAATGGAATCGGTGCGTTCAGAGTTCAGGACCACAAACTGCGACTCCCAGGAAGCCTCGGGCCACTTCCGCTTCCGTTCTTAGCCACTTCTTATTCCCAGAAGTCCCCGGGAAATCTCCGCAGCTGAGTACCCCTCCCAGGGCGCTGGACTCAGGGGGCGGGGTTGGAGGCGTCGTAGCCAATCGCGGTCACGCCCCGGCATCTCCACAGAAACCGCCGCCACCGCCTCCAGGGCATTCATCCTGCCGTCTGCGTGAAGCGTACGGTGCCCAGCGGTGCGCGGGGAAGAAAGACCGTGTAAGAGATTTACAGACGGCAGAGGACTCTGTGGTCCTTTTTTAGATACACCTTCTCCCGCAGTGAGGCTCTGCCCGATGAGGGACTTCACTGCTGCGTGACGCAAGTCCCTCCCCAGCAGGTGCGCGGAGCCAGGGGCAGCAGGAAAGACCCACTTCCCTGTGGAAAAGAGTGTCGGTGTGTGGATCTCTACCTTGCACCGGTGCTGGTCTGACACTCAGCCCCTTTGCAGAGCTGCTTCCCACCCCCAGACACAGCAGTGCTGCAGCGCCGAAGTCCTTGTTAGTGAATGCATGGACCATTAAGTGAACTCCAAGAGGAGATAGAAAGGGGGGAGGAAAAGAGGGTCTTCCCAGAGGGCAAGCGGGGTTTTGTGTACAAAGATCTGATTCCCGAGGAAGCAGTTGGATGGCCTTGTGTGGCTGGGCAGGGGCCAAGAGCAGATTTGTCCAGTGCAGAGGGTTGAGTTAAGGACTTGGGAGTGGGACACAGGCTCCCAAGGTTGAAGCTGGCCAGGTCTCCAATCCCAGGTCCTGGCCATCAACTCACTTATTCATAGCTCATGTAACTGAATATCGACTACATCCTAGTCATCAGTCCGTGTGCTGGGGACACAGGAGGAAAATGAGGCCCAGAGTCTGCGGACCTTTGGTTACTGCAGGGAGACAGATCAAGACAAGAAAACAAGACATGAGCAAAGATGAGGATGAAATGGGGGCTAGCCAAGCACGTGACTGGGGAAAGAGCTTTCTAGCTGACCCAGTGTGCCGAGGCCCTGAGACCGGGGTGCACAGGGGGAGCCAGAGCCGGTGTATCGGGTGGACAATGAGGAGGGAAGGGCCAGCAGGGGCCGTAGCATGCAGGCTTCCGAAGGACAGTGAATCCTCCGGATCTTATTACAAATGAGGCGAGCAAAGAGTGCAGTCCTTTTGCCTGCTGGGTGGAGAACAAGCCTGGGCAGGTGGGAGGGCGTCAAGGGTGGCCGGAAGGCTTGGTGAAGTGGCTTCGACCAGTGGCAGACAGAGGTATGTGGCCAAGGAGTGGTGGGCTTAAACATTTTGTAAAAGTGGACAGGGGGTGGTGTTTTTGACACTGAACTTTTGGGCTTAGTGTCTCAAAGAACAAAGGGTCCACTTATTGAGATGGAAAGGTTTCAGGAGAGGATGGAGGGCTGTGCCTGGAACATGACATGTGAACGTTGCCCACAGACACCCTGGTGCTGAGTCTGCTGTGGGAGCAGCTGGGAGAGGAGCTCTGTGTGGGGACAGCCCCAAGTGTGGGGGAGAGGACCCAAGGAGGTGAGCCTGGGGCACCCCCACATCCATAGGTGGGGCAGTAGGTGCCTCCAGCATAGGCGTCTGAGGAGAAGGCGGCCCTGGGACCACAGGAGGAAGCATTGAACGGCTTAGTGCTGGGACATTCAGCTCAAGGCACAGAGCTGCACCAGTCCTTCCTCCTCAGGTCTGCCCCTCCCCATACCCAGGTCCCTGGCCCCCACAGCTTCCCCAGCAGCGCAGCCTGGGGTCTCCCATTTCCTTTCCCCTCCCTCTGCTCTCCCTGTCTGGCATTTGGGGGTTTTGGCTGCCTCCTGAGGTGTGCACACAGGACAAGCAGAAGAAAACTGGCCTGGTCCTAGGGACACCCTTTCAGCTTTGCTTCTGGGTTTTGAGGCAGCTTATTGTTGGTGTTTTTTTTGTTTTGTTTTGTTTTTGTTTTAGATTTTATTCATTTTTAGAGAGAAGGGAAGGGAGGGGAGAGAAACATCATGGTGTGGTTGCCTCTCACACGGCCCCTACTGGGGATCTGGCCCACAACCCAGGCATGTGCCCTGATGGGAATCAAACCAGAAACCCTTTGGTTCATAGGCTGGTGCTCAATCCACTGAGCCACACCAGTCAGGGCTGAGGCAGGGCTTTAAAGGCCATCCTCTGGGGCACTTTTCTCTGGAGAGGTGGAAAAGTTTCAGCCGTGGCCTCCAGGAAAGCCCCCAACAGAACTCCCCATCACCTGGCAGTGTTTGTCTGCAGGGACACACGGCCAGGCGGGGCTCAGCCTCCTGCTGGAGTACTTCATCTCAGGCCTCCTGTGGGAAGATTCGAGCATGGACAAATTATTTGTCTTGTTGGGTTTTTTAAATAAAGAATATAGATAAAGCCGAGTAAGCGTCACCTTTAGAGACAGGCATGTGAGAAGTGAGTGTGCACCACAGTGCCACAAACCTAACCCACAGCTCTGCTCCGGGCCCCGGGCAGAGTGGGGCTCAGGCTGGAGTCTGCGGCAGGAAAGGAAAGGGAGGCCAATGGAGAAGGCGAGAGAGACGGGTCCCACGACGGCAGAGCGGAGGCCAGCGACAGAGAGTGAGAGACGGCGGCTGGGGAGCAGGGAGGATCAGAGCCGAGGCGCAGGTGGGAGGACACACAGATCTTCCTGAGTCTTGGAGTTTTAGACTCAGGTTGGCCCCTGGCTTTGGATGCATCCTTGACCCGCAGTTCATTACCTGTGGGCCTCGTGAGGGCTACCGAGATTCTGTCCCAGACTAAAGCCTAGTTGGGCTCCTGAGAGCCCACTTCTCAACTGGGCCTCATCCTTGGTCTTCTGAGCCCGGTTTTGCAGAGAATTTCCCATCCTCCATACCTAACCAAGTTCCTCTTAGCAATTTCCCACTCTCACACCAGCCTGTAGTGCCCGCCCCTCCCCTCTGCAGTGAGAGTTGAGTCCGCCTCTCTCCGCTATCGCCAGAGTCTTGAGTAAAGCCTTTCGGTTGCACTTCCTAACCAGTGTCCTTAAAGTGAGCTATTTCTCCTTAACGAGGGTCGTGAGGGACAGAGCCTGTGAGCGCCCAGCCGTGCCCGGTGACTGGGGCTCAGGCCCCGCTGCGCTGCCACTGTCATTGTGCTCCTCTCGGAGCCCGGGCCACTTCACTCAGTGACACTGGGCTCCAGCTGTGAGCCTGGCCTACAGAGGACCACAAACACGAGACTGAGTCTCGAAGGAAAGGGCCGACACCCACGGACAGACACCCCTGGGCTCACAGTGGGCACAAGTCCGGGGCCGCAGCCCAGAAGCCTTTGCACAGCAGGCGAGTTTCTGATCCTCAGCAAGTGTGGACCTGACGCCCCTCGGGCCCGGTCTTGAGGGCCATGAAAAATTAAGTGGAGGGTCAGGTCTTCCAACTCTGGGATGGAAATCAGGAGGTGCCAAGGCAAAACGCTGCTTCTCCTACTGAGGCCTGCTCAGCACAGGTATTGTTAGGTCTCATTCGGAATGTCCCACATTGGTAATCTCAGGCGCTGGCAGCCTGCACCACCGCAGGCCACCGGAATCCGTCCTGGGTCTGGGGAGCCGCTCAGGCCTGGCGTGGGTGCGTCCTGGGGCCCCACTTGGCCAGCAGGCGGTGCTGCAGGAATGTGGGAGACCCTGCCCTCCACAGTCTCGCTGGCTGCCAAGTGTGGGCTCAGAGCCAGGGCTCAGGCTACACTGTGGGCGGTGTCTACGCGCAGAGCCCTGCACGTCCTCCCCGGGCCCTCTTCCTCCGTGCACAGCCCATGGTTCCACTTAGGCAACCGGCTCGGCTGTGGATGCCTGTTTCGTGGAGGAGAGAGGTTGGGGCAGGGGCAGGGTGTGGGCAGTGCCACAGACAACCCGAGGGACTCTGCACTTGGGGTTCCCTCCATTTCCTCCCGTCCTGCATCTCAGGTTGGCCTGGGGCCCTTGGTCCCCCAGTCCGTCCGCCGGGCTGAGGGTGTATGCCATGCAAGGGGGTGTGTATGTGTGTGTCTCTGCATGTCTGTGAGTGTGTGAAATATGGGTGAGAGTATATGGAAGGTTCTCTGTGTGTGAGCACAAGTGTGAGTGTGCCCAGGTGTGTCCAGGCTGTGGTGTGCCAGTGCGGAGTGTGCCTGTCTGACTTGAGTGTGTGCGTGCTTCCTGTGCCTGTCGGAGCCTGTGAGCTTCCTGTCTTCCTCGATCTGTTTCCACAACTTCTACCAGATGTGCCCACCAGGTGGTTCTCAGCCACCTCCCCTCCCTGTGGGGAGCACCAGCATTGGCGCAGAGAGATGTCACAGCCGCCCGTGTGTCTTCTCACTCTAAGGCCCTTGGAGCCATCCCTGCTGACCCTGGAGGTGCCCCAGAGATGAGGGACCGACCTTGAAGGGGAGGTGCGGTGACACCCGTCAACTCCCCTTCGATTTGGAAGCACCAGGAACTTTGCTCACGTTCAGCAGAAAGGCCGAGTTGCCTCAGTGTGGAGGTCGTGAGGCTTCCTGGAGCCAGAGGGTGACTCAGCCCCAGAAGGCTCTGGGGTGCACCCCACCCACTGTGGCCCCCAGAGGCCAACCACATTACGCCTCTGCCCACGCTGCAGGCGTGCCTAGCCCGACGCACAGGTTCTGTTCCCTGGCTGCCTCACCCAACCTCCTCAGGACCCCCACCACCCCTGCCATGGGGCCCCCAGCACCACAGCCGCGGTGGACATGCATCCCATAAAGCAAGCCTTTGGAGAGAGCTCTCGCCACGCCCTGAATCTTCTTCCCTGTGCGCATTAGTAGGTCAGCACAGAAACAGCCAGTGCCCTGTGGACTTCCCTGATGAAGATTCTGAACCTTCAATTACGGACTTTGGGGCGGCAATCGAGCTGCTGCTCCCCGAGATCCACCCGTAGACTCGGCACAGAGCAAGGGGTCAGCTTGGCCTGGGCAGTCGCAGGGAGACGATGGGGGAGGAGAGGCGTGTGGACAGGCTGGGTGCACAGCCAGGACCATGCCCAGCTCTCTCTCATCTGATGCTCTCAGTCGGGCGGTGAGGCTCAGAGACCGTCTTCTGGCAGCACCAGGACAGGGGTCCCGAG